TATAGTATATGACAATATGGTAAATTATTACTTAAGTAAGATTTTTACATACATTCATAAGTTTTATTTTTTATTTCTTGTAAATGTGTTATGCCCTTGTACTCAACAGGTTCTTCGTCAAGTAGTGAGAATAGCCAAACTAGTGACCTTCCAGAAATACAACAAGGTAAATTTCACCTTCTTTTACTTACAGTCTAGTGACACACAGACACATGCATATGGAGCTATGTATGGCTATTGTTAAATAGCCATACATAGCTACATAGCTGTTTTACATCAATATTTGTTAGATACAAGTACCAGTAGTGCAAATCTGTTCTCACGCTCTCCTTCTTTCAAGCGTGACCATCCACAGAAAAGACAAGGTAAATTTAGCTCTTCACTGTTAAAATGTAAGGTTGTATTATTGACCAGGTTTTAAGGTTTCCAACTCCAGGCAATATTCAATATTCACTTATTATATGTTAAAAAAAAACTCAGAAATCTAACTTAATACACTGTTATACACACTATATTGCCAGAGGTAATCACCCATCCAGATGATTGAATTCAGGTGTTCTAATCACTTCCATGGTCACAGGTGTATAAAATCAAGCACCTAGCCATGCAGACTGCTTCTACAGACAATTCTGAAAGAATAGTTTACTCTCAGGAGCTCTGCGAATTCCAGCATGGTGTCGTGAAATAAACACCAGATGTCTGACAAGTGCAGTTGTAAAATTTTCCTGCTGCTAAATATTTCACAATCAACTCTCAGTGACTGAAAATGATTGGGAATGACAGCAACTCAGCCACCAAGTGGTAGGCCACGTAAAATCACAGAGCGGATTTAGCGGAGGCACATAATGCGTAGAGTCATGGTATGGTTTTCCATAGCCAAGATGCTAGATCCAAGCTTTATTTCAATAAGTCCAAGGTGTTAGATGCAGTGGTGTAAAACACGACATTACTGAAGCATTTGAGACGTGTTCTCTCGAGTGACGAATCACACGTCTTTGTCTGGCAATCTGATTGTTGAGTCTGGGTTTGGCAATTGCCAGGAAAACAGTACTTGTCTGACAGCATTGTGCCAAGTGCAAAGTTTGGTGGAAGGGGGATCATAGCTTGGATCATGGGGCATGGTTTTTCAGGAGTTGGGCTCGGCCCCTTAATGCTTTAGCAAACCAAGACATTTTGAAATATTTCATTCTCCCAACTTTGTGGGAACAGTTTGGGGACGCCCCCTTTCTATTCCAACATAGAAGGAACATGACTGAAATTGACTGGCCTGGACAGAGTCCTGACCTCAACCTAACAGGACAACATTCGGTTGAATTAAAGCAGAGATTGCGAGCCAGGGCCTCTCGTCAACATCAGTCTGACCTCACAAATGTGCTTCTGGAAGAATGTTCAAAAACTCCCACAAACACTCCTAAACGTTGTGGAAAGCCTTCCGAGAAGAGTTAGAAACTGTTATAGCTGAAAACAATGGGCTGGCATCATATTAAACCATATAGATTAAGAATGGTATGCCACTTAAGTTCATATGTGTGTAAAAGCAGACAAGCAAATACCTTTGGCAGTACAGTGTATCAAATGATATTTTGTTCCACTCTAAAAAGTTGTATTGAAAAATAAACCCTAAAATTTCAGCTGCATATTGTAAAGTGTATAGTTACCTGTGCACATATATTGTTTTCGAGAATGCTTAACATTTTTATATTTGCATTTAGATGATCTAAAACACTATGTTTAAAATCTGTTCAACTCAAGGCTTTATATTTAAAAGACTCAGACAGCTCTGTTAATCATTCTAGTAATGTTTTGGAAATTTTTTTTGTGCTATATTAATAAATTGATTTCACTCATTGAAGCAAAGTCTTTTATTTCATTTATCATGAATCACTGTATTCCAGGAAGTTTAAGTTGATTCTCCTGTGAATTTAACTTGCTCTTAATTTGTAATTTTTTGTATTATTTCTATAGCCACACTGAAGTACAAGATGGTGATAAGTGGAAAAACCTTTAATGCCCATCAACAGATACTGGAAAAAGTAAAGGCTTTAAGTGAGGAGCCAGATTTGAATTTGATCGAACAGGAAGACAGCAATCAGGATTGCCAGGCCATTATTGTCTTCTGTCCCATTGTTTCACGTATGGGGACAGATATTGACGCAGCCATGACGCAAGTCAAAGGTAAGGGAAAGAATTAAATTACTCATCCATTCAAAAAATTGCAGTTGTGTTTTATGAGACATTTTTGGGTTTGAGAATACGACCTGAAAGTAACTCATAATAATGATGAGCTTTTAAAAGCATCAGGAATAGCATGAATTTTGTCTAATGTTTCTATAGTATAAGAAAATCTGTGGCCATTAAATTTTTTTTCTTTTAATACTTTTCCACTGTTATGTTCTCGTAATCCGTCTCCTCTTGTTTGTTCTCTGTAGGTTCTCAGCCTGTCATTCTGGTTTTGATGCATCACGCACATGAACCCAAGCATGTAAATTTCATGAAAACAAGGGATGGCGTTTCTAATGTTGTGTTACCTTTCCATGTGTTCTACCATGAGACAGTGCATGGATTGTTGCAGTGTCAACAAAATAACGATGCCATTTCTGAAATTCGAAAGGCATTACTGCAGTACGCAGATATCCAGACAATTAAAGATACAAGTGGAAAGACACAGAATGTGGCTGCTAGTAATTATGGTGGTATTATTAGTATTCCACTAATGAGAGTTCAAACCTTTTTAAAAAAATTTTCATAGTGTAAAGTCAGATATCACAAGTCAAAGAAACTGTAAATATGTCCCATTCATTACTCTTTTGTAATCCACTTTTTTTGCACTGTATCACTTGAGTAGTCCAGATTGCTCTGACCATTTGCATAGGAATTGAGGATTTTATGGTTTTGATCATGCAAAATAATTATTTTGTGCATTGTGAAACAAAAGGGCAGCACAGAATTGTCTTTGTGACCTTTATTTCAGTACTTTAAGATATTTCAGCTGTAAGGGTAGTTGCTGAGTCAACAGGTGTGATCATGAAGTGTCAAAGAAGAGGTCAGAGACACAGTATATGGGTGTAGATAGCCATAAAACTACTTTCAACTGTACCAACTGCTGTTTATCTCTAAAAAAAACCCCAAAAGTGACAGTTACAGCTATATGTACACAGTGACATCGTAAGTCCTTTGATCATTAAGATAAATAATAAATATATTTATATCAAAGTCAAATATATTGTGATTAGTTTCACGGTTGCTATGTAAATCTGCAAGTTATTTTCATCTTTCAGAAAAAAAAAATCAAGCCAATGTTTAAAATTGTGAATAAAAATGTTAAAAAAACATCTGTCTTCTTTTTCTTTTTTCCTTTTTTAAAAAAAAAAAAGAAAAAATTGAGGGGTCCTGAACAGTTCAAAACACCAGTGTATTTATAGTATAATTTAACCTAGTTCAGCTAATATTTCTGCTGTTATTTTCTATATTCTTGACTTTTATTCACTAAGAAAGACTAAAGAGTGCAAAGACCACATATTCAATGATAAGCCACTTTATAGATGTATACATTATATTCATAGAAAATGAAAAATTGTGTGAGACAAACTTTTTTTTTTTTTTTTTTTTTTGGCTGGTGTAAAGTTTGTCATCTAAATAAAAATGAACTAACATAAACTGCGCTGTATTCTAGTAATTGACGGAATAATTACGTTTAATCCGGTCCTTTGATTTGCTAGCAACGCCAAATTAATGTCACATAAATGACGTGTTATTAATTCTTTAGATTAGCTCTGTGGTACTTAAACTGTGTTTTGAGGCCCCCTGGGGCGTAGAGCTTCTGCAGAGAGGCATTCGTGAAAGGGAAATTTACGGTGGAAAGAAATAGTAAATATGAAGATAAACTAAGCTGGATGAATATGATTGTGTCTTTAGTGTCTTTGTTTTCCTAAATGGAGAGGACATATAACTTGTACTTTTATTTTGAAAATGTTTATTTTATTTTATTTTTCTAGACCGGAAGTTTGATATTGTTTACAAATGAATGCTTCCGGTAGGTCCTGCTAGTTAGCGCGTTGGCATGAATATTATTTTGTGATATTTACCTTACCAGTTTTGATACAAACACTACCACCTGCGTGCTTTTTGCGCCAGCTCGATATAAAAAAAGTAAGAAAAATGTGCGCGTATTTCGTTTAGTTTGATAAACAGTAGCACAGCTCCGTTAGAGAGAGTTAGCTAACAGTTGTATAGCTCAGCAGATGTTCTGCAGCATGGCTCTGATATATTTCAACAGGTGTTGTAAATGGAGGTAAAGTCAGTCTTTTGAGTTTCATAAGAAGCTGCAGACTTGTGGGTTTGTTTTTTTTTTTTGTGGTAGTTGCAATGTTGTTCTCTGTGATGCCTACTTCACACATTTCTCTGTTTAAAAATCTAAAAGTTTATATCTAAAATTGAACAGACTTGTGTGTTATGATCTTCAGCCGTGTGATATTGAGCCTCGGGTCTAAGCGTTCACAAAGGATATGTGCTGTTAATGAAGTGCTGCTTAGGAGTCAGCATTCAGTATCTGTCAGTTATTCCCAACAAGCCAGAGCTCTTCGCCTCAAGCCGCCTGCACAGCGGTTCAGATTTCAGGTAATGAAGAGAAGAATCAAGCTGGCTGCAGAAAGTGTAACCTGGAAATGATACATGGCCTCTGTGTTTTAGGTGACAGCACCGTCCTATCATCATCTGCTCACCGTGTGTGATATGCAGCCAGCCAGCATCTCCTACGGAAGAGACACAACTTCAGTTGCATCAGATGAGGATGATGAGGGTGATGAAAATCTGGCAGGAAAGGAGGTCGGAGAAGAGCACAAGGACCTGAGAGAGATGGTGATGACTTCAGCCCAGACAGGGGCAGTCGGCATGGAGGTCCAGGAAAGTCCTGCAGATCCTGAAGCTGCCTCGGTGTCCAGTAAGTTAAATGGCTGAAACTGTCATACAATACTGACTAATCTTTGGTTTAATTGGGGAATAGATTCACTTTTTTGTTGGCTTCCTGGTACCACATAATTTGAAATTGTGTTTTATTTAGCAAAGCAATATTTATCAAATGTGTGCGTGGAAAACAATAGAGTAGTAAACACGACTGCCACGTGTCCTTGCATGATTGAATTTAAATGAAAAAGGTTTCATAACTGCTTTTTAAAATTTTATGAGGTGACCAAACATAACTTTAAGTTTTTGCCAGAAACTCTTAAGCTTATGGCTTAACACGTTTTATAATGCGGTTCTGCCTGAGTCAAAGTCCAGATGCAATTTAGATGACGACTCGTACAGTAGCAATAATTTAACGTTAGAAGAACACGATCTTCTATGCCGGCATTCTGCACTTAAGCAACTTAAGCACACTGTAAAAATGTTACGGTGCCAGAAACTTAGTACTCAGTACCAATACGTCTTGAATGATACCCAAAATCTGAAAGTCTGAGAATCATAATTTTGGGTTCTGGTGCTGTGTCTAGCACACTATTTCATGAGCCGTGTCGAGTCTGTGGGTGACACTCCATGCCTGTGACTGCATGTCTATTCTTTTATTTTCATTTGTATATTCAGTTCATGTAGATACAGTATGCTAAACTTGTTTGTTTGTTTTTTGACAGCTCCTTCAGGATCAAATGAGAAGAAGACTAGAAGGAAGTTGAGGAGGGAGAGGAAGAAACTGATGAAGAAAACGCTGAAGTCTTCTGATACTTCTGAAAACTTATTGTCAGAGCTTCCATTTGCTTTGGCCAGCCCAACAACATGGAAAGCACTATGTATGTTCCTAATGTTTTATAATTACTTGAATTAGCAGCATTTTCCCCCACTATTAAGAAGCCTTGATGACAAGTCAAGCGGGCACCTTATGTCTTATAAGTGGTCTGTTTTCACTGTCGTGATCCTGTATTATGTTTATTTTCATGCAAATCCTTAGCATGATGTCCAGTTTTTATGTGTGGGTGTTGGTGCTAGAGGAACGGAATCAGAAGCAACTTCATATTTTCATAGCTTATATTTTACACCTCCAACTCTATTAGAACTACATAATAAAATAGGATGTGTTTTCACGATTTGGGACCTTTCAATTGATATTTTTAATTGTAACTTTCATTTTGCTGTTGTTCGTAGTCCCCAGCCAAGAGTCAACTAAGAGAAAGAGAAAGAGAAAGCGAGGAGACATCGAGGGCAGAGTGGACAGTGAGGACGATGGGGACAAGAAGAAGAAAAAGAAAGAGAGCCAGCGACCCAATTACTTTGTCTCCATCCCCATTACTAACACTCAGGTAAGAAGCTGGAGCAGGTGGAGTTTATGCACATTGTGTCTCACAAATCACAGTTTAAGGACGTGGCTTTCAACTGACTTCTGCTCTCTGTCCACTGACAGATAAGTTCAGCTGTGAGTGAGGTCCAAGAGGCCGTGCTCCAGCAGGACCCCCGACTGGCCAAAGCTATGATCCCTGTCCCAACTCTTCACATCACGCTTTTAGTCACTCATCTTGCCAATCAGGAGCAAGTAGACCTGTGAGTTGGTGCACATGCTGACATCCACATCACATCACACACACAGAAGTTCATATGAATAATTTGACACCCAAATTGTCTGCAATTACCTTTGCTTCTTTAACTAACTATAACTACATTGTAGAATGTAAGTGCATGTCATATTTTGGTCATGCTATAGCACAATAACATTAAAAAGCAGACATGGTATTGTTCATGACAGCAATAAATGACGTTTTAGTAGTTACATCAGGAAGTAAACTTTGCTCTGAATAAGAGTCACCCTCAAGCTGAAGAAGTTAATTATCATTTAGATACCCATCCTTTTCTTACTGCGACATAAATAAAATGACTTCTATCACAAAAGTCTTCTGTTGATCCCACAACAAAATGCTTTTTTACAGTAGCCATTTTGAACTCAGTTGTTACTCGTAGCATTAAAAATGGCCTTGAGTAGTAACAGTAAAAAGACGGCTATTGTTAATGTTATTAGTTACAGCAGAGCTTCTTCTGTGAGCCTGAAAATGATCATCTAAGTGCTCACAGCGTTGTGGGTTGCTTTTTATATTCCACTTTTCTGGTCTTATTGATCACTCCAGCACTGCGAGCCACATTCACACACACACACATTCTTGCAGCTCTTTGATTCATTCCTTCAGAGCTTTTTTTTTTTTTTTTAAATAACACACATTGGATCCTACATTACAGGGCTGGGCCGAGGCTCATTATTGTACCTAAGAAGACTCAGATTCAATTCAGTTCAACTCAGGTAAACTTAGTGCCAAATTACAACCATAGTCACCTCATGGTGCTTTATATTGTAAGGTAAAATCCCTAAAATATCAGAAAGAAACCCTTCAGTATTGCACAACCCTCTATGAGCAAGCACTAGGTGACAGTGGGAAGGAAAAACTTCCTTTTAATAGGAAGGAACCTCCAGCAGACCCAGGCTCAGAGAGGGGTGGCAAATAAAATGGCCAAAGCTATGCAAAAAAAACTGTTTTACCAAAACAAATTTCAGCCCCTCACTGAGATCATTGTATCCCCCAGATTACTGTGTTGGGTCGCTCCTCCTCCTCCATGCGGAGAATCCTCAGCAGCTTTTTTTTCCCCCCAAACATGCACACATGCATGTAGCAGCGGTGTACTCAGTGACAGCCGGTGTCGTGTCTTGGGATGTAGGTTGACTAGAACAACATCTCTTTTGTTCCGGATTTTCCATTTTCTTTATTGTTCTCTGAGCATAAAATGCACAGTAATCCTAAAATGCCGAACTTCAATCAAACAGAGTGTTCTCAAACTAGTTTACTGTTAGAATCAAATGTTCTCATTGAATCCCATTTAGCCTCTTTAAAGCTGCACATTATCACAACATCAGATAGCTCTGATAGCTCGGCAAAATCCTGTTGCAGAAGTAAATATATGGATGCAGTGTCAGCAGTGACTAATTACCAACGTGTCACATTAGGTACGGCTTGTGTCTTATCTTTTCCTCTCAGCACTTCCACGACGGTCAGGCTGTACATTTTTACGAGTGGTTTGGATGTTTTAGAGTAAGCCTTGTCTTAGTCAGCTTAGATAAAAATCACCTATTTTATGTGTCAGTTAAAGTGAATACACGCCCCTGGATTGGATTTCATTACATCATTTTCATCTTAAACGTTCTTTTAATCATTTTAAGCATTTTCAGTTATTTTTTACTCTGTC